GTGGCGAGCAGCAGCTCCGGGGTGGGCATGGCTCTATGGGCTGGCAGCCTTGCGGCTCACTCTGGCAGGACCCATCGATGTCACGGCTGAGGCTGCCAGGGTCATGGCAAGGGGGCAGGTCCATGGAGCTTTCGTGGCAGCACCCTGTGGAACCGTGCCAAGTCCAGACCTTCTTGCCACAGTCCAAGCCATCGTGGCACAAGTCCTGGTCACCATCACCTTTACGGTACTGCATCCTGTGGCAGAAATGGCCAAGCTCTCAGGGATAAACAGTCTTGGAAAAAGAAAAAAAAACCCAAAACCCAATGTCTTTTTTTTTTTTTTCTGTTTCTATGAAAAAAATGAAGAATCTGAGACAGCTGAGAGAATCCAACTCACCCTGCAACCAGTGATGGATAATCTGAGTCTTGAGGAAAGCGCTGGGGCCGAAAGCTTATATATGCGACCAAGCTCTCTTGGAAATGAGGCATGCCATGGGAATTAATAGCTGAGCAGTGAGTGCCACTTCTGTATGTATATTTTTTCTGGCACTTGCTATTGGATTAATCAGCTGCAATTAGCATCTCCCTCGATGTAATGTCATCTTAGCTCTTTGCATATGCAGTGGCCATTATCTAATTAGTTCTTGCATCGGTCATGTTCACATATGCTGTTACCTAATGTTAGTCAGATGGGATCCTGGGATAAGGATACCTGGAATACCGTGATGCTGAGTGATGTGCCCAAAAGGAGTCTCTTGTGGCAGTGGGAAAACCACAAAAAGGCCCAGGAGTCCTGGTGTCCAGTCCCATGTCCAGGCGCCCAAGGGGCTCATGCCTTGAAAAAGGGTGTTGGAGCAGAGGTACACAAATGGCAATGGTTTTTCACGGGGCTGAAAGAAAACAGTTGTTGGAAAGAAGCAACTGTTTGGAAAACAAACAAGCTTCCTGCCAAAATAAAGAGCAATTTTTTTTTTTAAAAGGAAAAACTGGAAAAACAGTGACATTCTGTTTCCAATAAGAAGTGATGGATTTTTCAACTCTATTTCAGCTGAACACAACCCTGACCAGCCATAAACTAGGTATTGTGTTTGTGATGTTCTCCACAGAGCTGGGGTTTTTACTCAAGCTGTTCTCTGGGTGTTTTACCCACAGCTCAAAATCCATCTGAAAAAATCTTTGGCCTTGGATTTGTCAGTGAAAAGTTGAAATTTGCTGTGAGAAAGTATAGTTTTCCAGCTGGCCTTGTGGCTGGAGCCCCAGGTTGGACATTTTTTGTCAGACACAGTCTGTGATACCTGGACATGATGCTCATCACCTTCCAGAGCACAGAGGAATCTGACTGCCAGAGAGATGGGGAGGGAATCAAGGGTGACATCAGAACCATGATGAATGGCAGATGTTGTTGCCCTGTGTGTAGGATAGATGACTGGAAGAGGTGAGCTCTGAATACAAGTTCCCTATAGACTCCAGCATGCCAGGGCACAGGGGTGGCTGTGGATGGGATGTATTTTCCCTTATTTTACTGAATTAATTCCTTTCCAAATGAGGAACACCTCGTTCAAGTGAGTGAGCACAACACCGAAAGGCCTTTTATGTGCTACAAATCTGGAATGAGGATGCCACAGAGGAGCGCTGACCTCATGAAGTAACAATTTCAGGCTTTGTCAAGCACCATATCCACCTCTCTGACATTTCTGCTTTGACTCATTTTCCATGTAGCTGCTCCACTTTGCATTTCTGCGGATGGTCAAGGCATTTTTTAAGTACCAGCAAAGTATCTTTCTCAGCAGCCCTAGGGCTGTCAGTGCACAAGGCATTTTCATG